CTCCACAGCATGGAGGTATAATACGGAGCCTTGCGTGTAGAAGTGATTCATAAGGAATTGTCGAATGGTAACACTGAGAAGCAAAACTTCTTATGTGAGTGGAAACACTTAATAGTTCAAAAAAGCAGGAAGCTTGGAGTATTGATTGTAACTAGCAAATTTAAATATTCCAGAGTCAGATACAGAATTTTTTGTGATCCTCCTAAAATAATGGTGACTCAAATAGAGTCTAGCTCCTTGTTCCTCTGTCTGGTGCTTGAATATACCTCCTGGTGGGTTGAAATCTGAATTTATTTGGTGACCAATTTTCCAGAGCTGGTGTGCCAAGATGAACCCACTTGAAAACTGTGGGCTCTCGGACTTGGCTGCAAGACCCGTCCAGCTGAGGTGGGCTGGCCCAGCATCTGCTGCCTTCATTGTGCCTAATGCTGGATCCATCTGTTTTCTGTCCGAGCTAGTGCCAACAAATTACTAATCTATTAGAGAAACATGGAAATAAGATTGCACTTCTCATTCCTGGCTTTTCCTCTCATATTTTGCTTGGCTTATATGTTTGGTTTTTGTTTATTTGGGGGAGAAAGATACGTTATCGAGTAGGCAAAGGGGGGAGGCATTAATCATTTTTCACTCCTTCCACACTTCTTTTAAAAGACTGTGGGGAAAGATCATCAATTATCCATGCTGTTGATAGTATTATGATTGTTGATGATGACGGTGGCAGCTATCGTTTATTAGGGGACTCTGTGCTCGGCACTCTACTAGTCCCTTTGTACCAGGTCCCCATTACCGTTCTTACTTTACTGATGGCAAAACTGATGTTCACATACGTTAAATAACTTATCCAAGGTCATGCCGCTATTCAGACCCCAATTCTAGAGACTGTGCCTTGTCCATCACTGCCTCTTAAGCCATTTAAAGCCTTTAGAAAGCATTTTTATCCAGGCATGTGAGTTTAATGAGGAAAGTCTTTAGCGTTTCAAGGAGAAGAAAAGGGGACTTTGTATTTCTTCTCCCAAATAGAGGCCTCTATAATTAGAACATATTCCCTTGACATGTGCTTTTGAGTGCCCATTCATGGAATCAACCCAGCTGATTGAGGAAAATGAGATTGGGAGCCCAGCACTCAACGGGCCTTTCTAAGCACAAGTGTGTGCATGCGTGTATGGGTGTGCATGGTGGTTGTGCTCTCACGCAGACCCCGCCTGCCTGCTGTCGGGAGACCAGCTGCGGAGTCGAGCAAAGCCACTGAACCACAGCTCTTCCTCTTAGCACGCACCAGGAATGAGAAGGAGGAAGTAGGGTCCAGGGTAACCGACCATCTCGGTCATTTCTTTCCTTTGTGTTCCTTAAAATACAGAGTCTGACTGCCAGTGGTACCCAAAGCGCAAGAGCCCGGGGTGACAGAGTTTCTCTGTTCTGACCGTAAGCAGAGTTCAACAAAATCAGGAACTTTCTTCTCTTACAAAACTGCGTTGTGGGCCACGTCTGCCATAACCATGTCTAAACGCTTGTTTTCTGAAACAAGATTAAAGTGTTATTTCATTTCCTTCGAAAGCAGAGCGTACATATGTTTTCACTGAATCAGGTTTCTTCCCAAATGAGTCACTTACCAAGTGCTGGGGGAGGACGGGAGCTAGTAATCGAATGAATATGTGAATTAATTTCATTTGCATTCGAACTGTGAATGAGTTTATTTATTTTTAATAAAAAGCAAGTGCCAAAAAAGAGCACTGTGCTCCCTGATGCTGTCAGACTCTCTGGCAGCGAGGGCGTGTGAGGTCAGTGAGGATGGAGAGGAGAAGCCTTAACTCTGCCCCCAGAGAAGCGTTCTGAGGATTGTGCTCCCGAGAAGGCGTGGGAAGAGGCAGGCCAGCAGCCTGCCCACCACACCGTTGTCCCTCACAAGCCGGGGAAGCATAAGGTGCCCTTTCCACCACGATGGTGGGACTGGAAGACAGACGGGGACCTTATGTGGGGGCCTGTGGGGTGGGAGGTTCCAAAACAACAGAACTTTTTATAAAGAACTTTAAAATTGATCAACAGTGAATGTCTTACCTTTTACTTGGAAACAGTGCCCGTTTGATTATTTCCGCAAAGGCAGAGTATTTTCTTAGGAAAAAGCGGTTTAAATTCAAGGAGCTGGCCATAAAATACTGACTCCGGTGGGCCTGGGTGGTACCTGAGGTCATTGGTATCACACCTCTCCTGTTCCTTCTAGTCTGTTTTGTTTTCCTCTCCATTTCCAGTTCCTGAAATTGCTAGTGCCTCACTCTGTTGTCATTCCCCTTTAGGCTTTCTTTAGCCTTCCAGAGGACATTCAGGGTCAAAGGGTGCTGGTTGTCACAAGTCCCTTTCTCTGCTGGCGGAGCGCTATATTAGTTGGTCCTAAGGTTGGTCTGTAGCAGGGGCCAGCAGATTATGGCCCACTTTGTCCCACCACCTGTGTTTGTAAATAAAGTTTTATTGAACACAGGCACTCTCATTTGTGTATGGAGTGCCTCTGGCCACGTCAGGGCCATAGTGACATTTTAGTTGAGACCATCTGGCGCAAATAGCCTAAAATATTCGCTGTCCAGCCCTTTACAGAAAGTGTGTCGGCCCCTGGTTCGTGTGAGTGGTGACCTTCCTACCGTCTGCAATAAATAACACACTTCATGGATACCCAAAAAAGAAAGTTCATGTAATGCACCTAACAGAGAGCAAGTACCCCGTCCTTGTTGAAAAGTCCATGGATCTTGTAGATTTAGGTGATGCAGCTTTACATGTGTGGACTTAAGAAAACCTGGTTTTACAGTTGTGATGATATGTCACATAAGTACGGTTTTTCCTTAAGCATTTGAGAGGCCACACCATAGTGTCCTGTGCTTGGGCTCTGAACACACAGATTACCTGAATGCGAACCATGCCTTCTCTGCTTAGTAGGCACATGACCTTGAGACAGGCTCTTTAACATCCTATCCTGTGCCTCAGGTTTCTCATCTCTAGAATTAGGGTTGCAATAACAGAGGCCTCTTAGGCTTGAATACAAGGATTAAATGAGTTCATACAAAGAATTTGGAATTGAGCTTAGCACATAGTAAATATTAAGTATTTGCTTTTATTATTGTTACTCATCAAATCCGATTTCTGCTGGAAAACCTGGAGAAACTCCTCCTTATCTTCAAAACACAAGGCCCTGTTGAACCTGACCTCCCCCCACCACGACCCCCGCGCACAGTGACCCATCCTCACTTTGTCTGCTGTCTGGCTGGCTGGGCCACGTGCGCTGTCCTCTCTTCTGCCTTACTCGCCACCCAGATACCTACCCCCTACCATTTTCACGCGCCTGTTTGCAATACTTTACATACATAATGTCCTTTAACCCTAGCAACTCCTCAACTAGGCAGTATTAGAGAGGATTATCTTTGCTTTATGGAGAAGAGGGCGAAACCAAGAAAGAGGAGAACAAGTTAAGATCTTGTAGACATTATGTGCAGAGCCTTCACTCGGTGCCAGCTCTCCGCGTCCCAGGGCCTGGCCACCCATGGGCTCCTGAGGTCGCAGCCCGGCAAAGAAATCTTCCCTGAACTCCCCTACCGCACTGACCCCTGCCCCCCCCAAGCAGATTACTCTTGCACTTTTCTTGCTTTTATACTTTTCCTTGTCTTATCCCTTCTACTCCACCTCACTCTCATGCACACACACACACACACACACACACACACGGTGAGCTTCTTGAGTGCAGGAATTGCATTATATTTAACTTTATATCCCCTAGAATGGTTATGTTGTTTTGACAAGGAGATTCTTCCAGAAAGCAGTAAGAATTGATTGAGAAACGTTAATCCATATTCTGCAAATGCCTTTTACACTCATTTTATTTCATTAATCATTTGTGGGAAGGCAGCCTATTTTATTGGTTACTTACATGGGTCCCAGAATCCTTTTGCTTGAGCTTGAACCCTAACTTACTGGCTGTTGATTTTCTTCATTTGTAAATGGAATCGTCGTCATTTATATGTATTTTTTATATGGTCATCGGAGAAATGAATGAAATCATTTGACGCAAAGCACTTAACCCCACGTGTCATGCGTAGTGTGGTTCAGCAGTAACTATCTGCAGTCATTATTATTATTGGAATGACATCGCATATGCCCTTAACTTACCTGACTTTAATCTGTGTGTACTCAGTCAAAATAAAAGGTGCGGAAGGAGAGAGAAGACAAACTCTTGAAATAGCTGGGGCCCTCGAAGCTGCCGTTCTCCTCAGTGTGTTCCCCGGTGGGAACGGGGGCTGGAGGCGTGTTCGTGGCCCTTCACTTCCTCCCCCCGCTCTGCCTGCTCCCCGCGGAGTCAGCATCTCACCGCGCTGGACGTCAGGGCGGTGCTTGAAAGCACATTTCCTAGGACATGGCACCAAGCATAAAGCAGCCGCTTTCTCTGGTGCCCGGGGGAAAAACAAACAAACACACACACAGACAAAACGTGGTCCCAACGCCAGAGAAAAATGGGTTGTTTGGCCGAGCACCCACACGACACCTCCTGCGGGGTTTTGGAGGATAATTTTGACCGTACGTGCACCTTGTCTTCCGTGTCCTCTTTCTGAGAGCCCTTTGTCAGAGCTGTCGGACACTGGTGATGTAGTGATGCAGTCTCGGTGGTGTGTTCCTAAGGACTAGGGCTTGAAATCGCCACTTTGAAAGGTAAGCACGTGAGCTCCGGGTGGACTGAGGCGACACTCGGTACTAGCATCCCTTGCCTGTTTCTGGATGGCTTTAATGGTTCGCCTAAATGGCCCCTCCATCTCTCAGTGGTCCCATGTGGCTCTTTGCCTTTGGAATGGGCCGAGAACATGTGTTGACCCTGCCAGCCTCATCCGTGCCAACAGGGGAAGGGTTAATAAGGATAATGACGACTATGCTGTGTTGACCGCATTGTTGGACAAGAAGCCTTTCCAGTGAATGTTCTCACCAGTCCAGATAAAGTAAAAGGCTTTAATTTGTGTTTGCTTTTTGTTTAGGTAACTACTCCAGACCCCCAACGTATAGCGGGGTGCCCAGTGCAAGCTACAGCGGCCCAGGGCCCGGCATGGGCATCAATGCCAACAACCAGATGCATGGACAAGGGCCAAGCCAGCCATGTGGTGCTATGCCCCTGGGACGAATGCCATCAGCTGGGATGCAGAACAGACCATTTCCTGGAAATATGAGCAGCATGACCCCCAGCTCTCCCGGCATGTCTCAGCAGGGAGGGCCAGGCATGGGGCCACCGATGCCAACCGTGAACCGTAAGGCACAGGAGGCAGCCGCCGCAGTGATGCAGGCCGCTGCAAACTCGGCACAGAGCAGGTATGCCGTCGGGGCAGGCGGTCTGCGTGCGCACCTGTGGGTGCGGGTCGCGCACAGAGCTGCGCCGTCGCCTGGGTCACCCGGGCTGGGGAGCGGTGCAGTGTCGTTCGGCTTGGCCGTTCCTTTGGTGTTAACACATGCGGTCCCATAAAGTACAGAGAAGTAAATGGCAGACCACGTTCTCTGAGACATCGAGGAAGGAACCCGAGTGGTGGGCGAGTCCCTTGTGGGAGCTTATTTGGAATGACTGTGACTAGTCATTATAACCAGCGCCCCAGGGCGGTGGCATATCTGGGTGGTTCCGGTTAGAGGAGCGAGGTTTAGGCTGGAAAAGTCTAAAGCCGAAAAAGTAGGCTTTTAAAATCTAACCCACTGAAAAAGAACCACCTTCCTTTTTTTTTTTTAACCCCACCATAAAAATCCTTATAAAATAGAAACTTTGTCTATGCACATATTTGTATTGTGTGTGTTTGTCTAAATGTTTCTGTGTGAGATTTACAGATTTCATATTCTTATGTTATATTTTATTTTTCTGGGCATACCTCTCTATCTGTCCAAACCAAAATATGGCTAATAAAGCAAAGATAATATTTCATAAAGTTTAAGTTGATAGAGCAAGGCTTTAGCCTCAGTTACATACTTGTTTTCCATCTTGATTTTTTAAATTCTTTAAGTAAATATTTAACCTGCATAAAAATAACATAATTAAAAATTTATGAGACAGAAGCGAATAGTTTTAAGAGAAGCATTTATAGATATGTTTTAAGTTATGTTTAACATATGTTAAAATATGTTTTAAAACAAAGTACATTGAAAGCTATGTATGAAGATATGTGGTCTTCAGAAGAAAAGATAGAAGAATCTGATTTTTGTCAAAGGGAAAGAAAAATGTGTGTGTGTATGTGTATGTGTGTGTGTGTGTGTGTGTGTTTAAATGTGTCCCTTTGTTACTTTTCCTCTGAAGCTGCTATTTGGGGAATGTTAGGGACCCTTCAGTCTCACCGTTTGCTCCAAATAATAATAAATTTCCCTTGAGGAATCAAAATGAAAGTCAATCATTCTTTCTCTCTCCCTCATCCACATTACAGTGAGTTAAAATCTCCTGAACCCCACCACTATATACACTAAACCGAACTTTAGGGAATGTTTTAATAAACCTGTCCATGAAGACTGGTTTGCCTGGTCCCGTTGAAGTTCTGAGTTAGGTTTAACACACGCTGTCCCCGTAACTCCTAAAACACCGTTGTTGCAACTCCTAAAGCACCAGCTCTTCTCAGGTAGAAAGTGCCTGATGGCCCTGGACATGAGGCCTCGGACGGTGGCCTGGGAGGAAGATAACCACAGAGACCAAGGCATAGCCGTTCGACGTAAAAGTCTTGCTCTGCTCCCTTCCCAAATCAGTCGATGTGGCATTTTATCTAAATTCGTGCGGAGGTATACATCCCTGCCTTGTCATTGTCTGCTTCTGCTCGGCAGGCCATTCCAGAGCCTTGCCTCCGCATCCTGCCCACTGTAGTTCTCGGGGCGTTGTAACTGAGGACTGTGTATTTCGGCTTGTGCTGAAGTCAGAGGTGCGTGAAATGTACACCAAGACTAGATCTGAGAGTCTTACTCGTCTTTCCCCTTTGCCCCTGCCCCCCACCCCGCCCCCTCTTTTCAGGGAACCACCTCCAGTCCCCCTCTCAGGAGCTGCATGGTACAGAGGCTGAGGCCACATTCTGTAGCCCTCCACACCTACGTGTGGACAGAACCTAATGCACAGGGGGATTCATACTTGTCTACAGAGCAAATCCAAAGAGGTTGTTCTTCTGTTCTGCTTTAGGCCACCATACATTAGGTCGCCTGCTTATCCCAGCCAGTCTGGGGCTGGGGGACGCCCCATGTTTTCTTCCCAGCACCCCAACTATGGCAACTCTCAGGCTCCCCTGATGCACCAGCCTGACCAGTACGGGTAGGTAGCCACATACCCTGACTTGCTGCGGGACCTGGGCATTTTTTTTTTTAAACCGTTAATGACCGTGCCATCAAGCTGCAAAAGGAACACCCAAAACAAGAAAGTGAAAGACCTAAGAGGAAATCCATCCCAGAGGGGGTTGTCTTTTTGTTTCTTTTTGTTTGTTTCGGGGTTTTTGTTCGTTTTGTTCTGTTTTGTTTTTCACTCTTCTGAACGGTCCCGTGGTCATGTGGTGGAGCCCTGCATGCCGTCCCCCAGATCCTGTCTTTGCATGGCTTTCGGCATGGCTTCTTTTCCTTCGTGCCTGAGAGGGAAATGCAAACTTTTAGCTCCGTCAAAGGGACGAAGTTCCCTCCTCTGGCGTGATTTCCCCTGCTGTCGTCCTCGTGTTGTCTGGGAACTTGTGTCCTACGGCCCTGTTATCATGACTGTGTTGTTCTCATTCCTGCCGCTACGATGACCTGCTCCCACCCCCCACCCCCAATTCTGAGTGCAGCGACCTCATTTGACAGGAGACTCACTGCAGGAGACATGACTCAGGTTATTAATAGGACTTAAGAGGGGTTTCATTATATCATCACTGAGCAGACGTCTGTGCCAAAGATTTCTATTATTTCCTTCTCCCAAGGAGTTTTAGAATATTGAAGTCACCAGAAAAATGCAACCAAATCCTCCAACACAGAATTTGCCTTCTAAACGTGGTGTTGCCATATTATTATCAATTTCAACACAGGAATTACATATAGCAACAAAAAGTGTCTTTCTTCTTTCCTACTACAAAGCTTTATAATAGCAGGCTGTCACCATTTTTAGGTTAGTAAATGCTCTTACAGCATATTATTGACCGATTTTTAGCAAAAATATTGATATTGCTTTGCATATCATAACGATAAGATTATCCTACATAGATTGAATCCTGTTCACTAGTTTCAGTAGAAACACGCCACATTTTTGGTTAAGATAAAACAGGGAACAATCAACTGGCTTTGTTTAAAGACTAAACGTATAGAACGATGCTTTTACGACTTCTTAAGAATACGTAACAGAGAGAGCCTTCCAATAGTTTTACATTCGGCATACATTTATTTAGACAGCAAGAGCAAATGATAATTTTGCAGTCGGGAGTTCTAAATCCTGTAAACATGGTCCTAAACGTGGGCTAACAAATATAGAATTTTGTAAACATAATCCTAAAAATGAAATAACAAATTTAGAATTAGGTAAACATTTCTTTTGGGAAACTGTCTTTTCCTCTTTTTTTCCTTTCTTGTGGTACCTTCAAGGTCAGTCCGTGAGTCAGTAGGAAAATAACAGTGGGGGGAGAAAAGCATTTATCATCAGCTGCTAATCCATAGGATCTGTGCTTTACCAACTCTGGAGTTCTATTTAGACCCACAAAGCTAGTTTGGCCGCGCCTTGCCAAGCCACATTAAGCAGCTGTGTAAAATGAATTTAAATGGCATGCATCAAAGTAAAATCTCTTCCACTGGGGCAGAAAATCAGTGTTAGCTAACCAGCACGAGAAGATCAAATCTACGTTTCAGCCAGCAGCATCCACATAGCTTCCTTAGAACACAACACCTCCTCCTTAATTAAAAATAAGAACAAGAAAGATGTTGGCGTTACTCTTTGTAAATCTTGTAAAGCACATTTGGCAAAGGTTCATCTTTGCGGCCCCTTCCCTGTGAGCTCTGAATTTTGCCTTTTTATGTCTACAGCATTCTTTCTAAAAAAGAAAGAAAAGTTTTATTTCTATTTTAAACCTTCCTTTGCCCTTTGCAGTCCACATAACCTGTTGTGCCTTTTTTTTTCTTTAAAGCAGAAGCTTGAGTGTGAGAAAACATGTGTAGTACATGTTTTAGTGCTCTGGGTTAAGAAATTTGGTTTTCAACATGCTTTTGCTCTACCTAACATCTCCTTGCAGCAAACTCGTGTTCTAGCTTTTGTTTCTGTTTTCTTCCCCCACTGATAGCCGTGTTGGGTGGAAGGCAGGTTGGCAGTTTGAAAAACCCATTTGCTGAATGTCTGTTTCTCTTGCGCGGAAGTGGCTCAGCCTTGCAGAAACACGGTCTTAACAGAGTTTGTTAAAATGCCTTCTTTCTCAAGTCAGAATCCCGCAGGGCCCAGAGCCTCTGAAAGAACCTGAAAAAGACAAATTAATGACAAAGGTAGTGAGTGAGTGTGTGTGTGTGTGCAATTAGACAGAAACAGAGAGCTCACTGTGAAAAATGACAGATTATGGCAGATACGCTCCAGGCTTTCGCAGCTATTGCGTGGAAGATGGTACAGAAAGCACACAGGTTTGACTGGTTGGAAGCCATTTCACTAATTCCCTTTTTAAGGGTGGCTCGACCAGGGTGAAACCCACCTGCTGTACTGAGTCGATTAAGGAACGTGTAGAGGAGGGTTTTTTTTTCTTTTTCACCTTTTGAATAAAGGAGTTCCTTGTTTTGATTGTCAGAGGATTTACAATAGAATATGGTGAATCTTACTGTTGAGTACTAGATTAGCTCAGTAATAATGTTAATCATTTAGAATTAATAATTTATAGTATTTGTCCAGGACACCACTGCCACCGTATGTACTGATACACTTTTTACTCAGAAAATGCATTGCTGTGTTTAGTTGTTTTTTTTTTTTTAAGATTTTATTCATTTATTTGAGAGAGCGAGCACAAGTGTGGGAAGGAGCGGAAGGAGAGGGAGAAGCAGACTTACCGCTGAGCAGGGAGCCCGACTCGGGGCTCCATCCCAGCACCCCGGGATCATAACCTGAGCTGAAGGCAGATGCTTAACCGACTGAGCCACCCAGGTGCCCCTGCTCTGTTTAGTTTTAAAGCATTTCTAGTTAAGGTGGTGCTCTTTTGAAGTACTGAGAAACAGAGGAGTGGAACTATCAGATGATCTTATGAAAAGCCAAGTTCAGGGACGGCAGGGGACTGTCACCCTCAGTCCAGTTCTGATGGCTGTGTTGAAGGGAGCTGAGACATTGTCTGCAGAGGAGAGCCAAAGCTGGCCAGACGTTTAGGAGGGACTTCGGCCTGCTACTTCCTAAAGAACCATTGCCATGAATCCCAGGCCACATGCACTCATAAAATAAAATTTCCCTCAGCTGCTATGTGTGTTTTGCATCCATCCATCCATCCATTCTGGCGGCACTTGGAGTGTCCAACAACTGACATCTCTGCCAAATGCAGCCAGTTTGTGGATTTGGATATATTAGAGTTATCCAGGGTTTTGTCTTGGAAATGAGTGCCGAGGATGAAGCATGACTTCCGTGAACATACAGAAGGCCAGCCATGCCCTAGATCTTTAGGCCGGGCTATACTTTGGTTCCCTGAAGTCTGCTGTCCCCAGCACCCCCTGGACATCAACTTGAATCAAGTCTTCAGTGACTTGAGACGGCTTATGTCAAAGTTCTGGCACAGATCTTTACGATCTTTCATCAGAATGAAAATGTTTCAGGGGCCCCTGGGTGGTGCAGTTGGTTGAGCGTCCGACTCGTGGTTTCAGCTTGGGTCATGACCTTGGGGTCCTGAGATCGAGCCCCACGTCAGGCTCTGTGCTCAGCGTGGAGTCTGCTTGGAATTCCCTCTCTCCCTCTGCCTCTCCTGCTCGTGCTCTCTCTCTCTCAAATAAATAAAATTTTTTAAAAAAGGAAAAAGATAATGTTCCATTCTACGTTCCAAAAGGATGTAGTTTCAATGACCGAATAGTAGCATGTCAGAGCTGGAGGTATGTTAGATGTCATCCAGCCTCTGTCCCTTGATTTCATGGTGGAGGAAACAAGTATCTGAGTTACCTGCTCAGGACCCTTCACCAGGCACAGCCGGACAAAGCCGGCTCTGCATCCTGTACTAACTGCTCTTCCTTCACTTAGTGCGGTCTCTCTAGATTTTCCCTTTAAAAGAAAAAGTCTTCTTTTTTTTTAAGATTTTATTTATTTATTTGAGAGAGCTCGAGTGGCCGAGCAGGGGGAGCTGCAGAGGCAAAGGGAGAAGCAGGCTCCCCGCCAAGCAAGGAGCGTGATGGGGGACTCGATCCCAGGACCCTGGGACCATGACCTGAGCCCAAGGCAGACGCTTAACGACCAAGCCACCCAGGCGCCCCTAAAAGAAAAAGTCTTAATTTTAGTTCTTCCTCATGTCTAAAGGCAGTTCTGTTAGGACCCAGCTATCAGCCCGTGTCTGGGTGGAGATCCACCTTCTGAGGGACGGGCTGGACCTCGTTCCCTGGCCCACCCTTTGGCGCACCTGCAGGGAGATGCGGGTTTGGCACCTCCCCGTGCAGCATGAGTTGTCGTTTCTGCAGCCGCAGGCCTTGTGACCTGAAGTAACAGTTTGCTCGAGGGCACACAGATGGGTTTGAATCTCTGCCCTCCGGTATCGCTTTAGGGTACGGCATCGTCGTGACTGGAGTGTCGCCGTTTGAGGAAGGGTTCTGAGTCAGCACTTGGACCCACAAGTGCGCATACCCACTGATGCGGGTACAAGGCACGTCCGTCTGCCTTTTGCTGTCCCCGAGAGACGCCCCCGTGGACTGACTGAATGTCAGAAAGGAAAACTCAGGCTTCTTAGTTTTAAGGGAAAAAGTGAGCAAAAATGAGTCAGTTTGGAAAGTCATTATTACTCTTGCTTGGAAGGGAACTTTTATACTGAGTATCACAACCATGAATCTGGAGACCTACATTTTAATACTTACATCAGACCAAAAACTAGGATAACCGAAATCAGTTTTGTTAAAATATTTTTGTTTTTAGGAGGTGCCTGGGTGGCGTAGTCGGTTGTGCGTCCAACTATTGGTTGTGATGTCGGGGTTGTGGGATCGAGCCCCTCGTTGGGCTCGCACTCAGCACAAAGTCTGGTTGGGTTTCTCTCTCTCCCTCTGCCCCTCCCCCCCCATTAGCTCTTTCTCACACCCTCCCTCTCTAAAATAAATAAATCTTTAAAAAAACATTTTTGTTTTCAGTAAAACAGGATATTGGGAATTCTGACATTA